CAGGATAAGCTGGAATTTCCCAGAGTGTTTCTGCACTACAAACACATGAGTAACATTGTCTGCCTTGTGCTTCTATTGCCACAGGAATAAGTACGTTCTGGTCTACCAGATCTCCCAACAAACCACAGAGCGTATTTGCTTTTATTGGATCTTGGGGTAGATCTGTTAAAAAGAACCTCAAATGGAGGACTGCCAACACCGGGTCAGGGTTGAGGCGGAAGAGGCCCTTGTCCGCATGATCCCACACCAAAAGAACACTTGGTAAAAAGGCAGAAACACTCTGAGGTACAGACATGACAAAAAATTAAGCCCATTACCTGAGCAGCAGCGACACTTCTTGTGGCTGCATCTACCGGAGCTTGAGACTGTCCTTGCTGGGTGTCTATAGCTGCCTGCTCCCAATACTCCCAGCAACCACAGACTGCACTGTGTAGCCAAAATGCCAGAAGTACACTTGAGGTACTTCCTCTTTCCCTGCGCCTAAAACCAGGCATGGAGCTCAAACCTTCAGCGCCTGGAAGTCGCGAATCCACTACCAGAAGAACAGTCACCTGCCATCTGGTCAAGTGTGGAGAAGGCGCCGGGATAAACAGGGCCAACAAGGCCTCCACAGTGGTCACACCAGGGGAGAGACACAACTCCCGGTGCTAGCTTTCACAAAGCACCGTGGTAAGTGGAGCCAGGACCTACCCAGTCACATAGCGTTTGGAAAGGTACCAGGGCCAGTAAGCTCATCATCCTGCACCACTAAGCACGGCCCATGAAAAGGCTCCAAAATGGTAACAATCTCCTACAGACTAGGGAACCACAAAAACTGAAGGTGGATAGTGACAGTGGTCTTTTTATTCTGGAACGATGACGTCTTTCCTGTTTGGAGGGGGTCGCCGCACACTTTCATGGGCAGTCCTGGAAGACAACTGGGGAAATAGATTAGTGGGTTGTCAAGGGGTTTCCAAAGCAAAGCTAAGGAAAAAGAAAACTGCTTGTATTTCTCAGCATTGAGGACACTATTGATCCTGATCAAATCTCCAACTTCATTTGCAGATATGCAGCCCTATACTTGCAAGAAACCTCCACCATGCTTCATTTATTGCAGACTTTTGACTCATCAGTCCAGCGCACCTGCTGCTATTTTTTCTGCGGCCTTGCAGCCAAAAAGCAATACCTCCGACGTAGAAACAAGGCTAAGACTCAACTTTGCATGAAACCATAGGAACTGGGGTGCAGAAAAATGTTAGGTGCTCTGGACTGAGTTGTCAAAATTTGAAATATTTGGCTGTATAAGGAGGCAGCTTGTTTGCCAAAGGGCTGGAGAGCAGTACAATGAGTGTCTGCAGCAACAGTGAAGCATGGTGAAGGTACCTTGCAAGTCTGGGGCTGCATTTCTGCCAATGGAGTTGGAGATTTGGTCAAGATCAATGGTGACCTCAATGCTGAGAAATATAAGCAGATACTCATCCATCATGCCATACCATCAGGCTCCAGTCACACAAAGCAGCTGGAAAATCATTGGATTTCCACGCAGCATGCATTCCGTGCGGATTCCGCATGTTTGCGTCTACTACTATAGCCGAAACATGTGTAATCTAACCAGAATATCGCGCTTAAGACTTTTTGCACGATGCACGTTATTGTGCATCTTTCAAGACCATATTTATGCAGGATGATGGTCCATCGCATGCATCGAAGTACTCCAATGCATGGCTAGCCAGTAAAAGATGACAGCATAATTACATGGCCCCCTTCCTCACCTGACAAACCGTATAGAGAACTTGTGCGCTCTTCTTAAACGGGAGATTTACAGTGAAGGAAAAAAACAGTACACATCTGAACAGTGGCTGGGAGGCCGTGGTTGCTGCTGCACAAAAAGTTGATCATCCACAGATCAAGAAACTGACAGACTCCATGGATTGAAGGCTCATGACTGTTATTGAAAAAAAGGGTGGCTATTGATCACCGATTTTGTTTTTGAAAATGTCAGAAACGTTTATTTGTAAATTGAGTTGCTTGTTTTATTTTCATCTGTTTAAGTGAGAATAATAAACAAAGTGAGATGGGAACATTTTCCTTTTCCATTTAGTTGCATAATTCTGCACTAATAGTTGCCCAATAATTGTGTCTACATAGATACTCAGCCAAAGCCTCACTTTTACTTTCTTATTCAGATTTATTAACATTTTGATTGACCGAGGGAACTGTGCTTGTTCAATAATGAAATGAATCCTCAATCCTTGCCTAATAATTGTGCACAGTGTATGCCGATTGCTCTATAAACCGATTTTGAATCTGCTACGTTTAGCATTACCACATATATTCTGCCTTCACATCATCATAACACTATTGTATTCAGATCGAGCGATGCATGGTGTTGACAATGTTGTCATTGGTTTTATTTCTCACTATAGTAGGTTTTGTGCAATGTAGGATTGCCACGTCACCTTTTTGAGTTGATATGAAGTGGTCCACTTTGTTTTTCTCTTTTTGCAATAACATTCTTTTTCATATATATAGCCATGCACTTATTCCATATAATATTAAAGCTAAGTGACATTTTCACATAGGGGATTCTGCTTACATTTCCCTAAAGAACCCACCCCTAGCACAGATTGGCCTTTCATCTAGATCCTGTCCCAAACACACAAACCCCTTACTAGCATCCCTGGCGAAAGTGAAGTGGCCCTTCCTACATCTTGTACCACCCCATTTGTCATCTCCCCTTCATGTTTTCACTCCCCCTTATAGCTCTCCCATAAAAGACCACCTCCTGTTCTACGTCAGCAGTACTGAAAGCTTCCAGTATACAACAAACTCTTGGCTCATACATTACTCCCACCACATACTTTCTTTGGCAATGTTACATTCCGTTTCTGTGCGGCTGTCTCTCCCTACCACCTTAGATTTATTCCTGTGCTCTCACAGCACACAGGATGTTAAAGCACAGGTAAAATGGAGTACGCACACAGTCAAGGACATAATTCAAAGCAGACAAGGGTGCATACTCCATCACAGCCCACCATTAGGTGCTCAGGGCAAACCCAGTTTGCCCGAGGACACCCACATCTGCTCATAACTGAACAGCAGACCCCCCTACCCTCTAAAATTGTTTACAGCAGGCTGACTTCCCTGCCCTGCAGCTAGAGGTTTCAGAAGGGCAGTGCCCCTGCCACAACCGATTGGGCAGGAAGAGGAGGGGTCACTCAGTTTTGTAAGGGCTTGAGCAAATTCAGGCAAACTAGGTTTGCATCAAGCTCATCACTGAACACATCGAAAAAGCACTGACTTTTCATACAGCAATTTATACATAACTGTTTACTTTCAGCATGCTGGTGTTCCAAGCAGGCCCACATGCAACTTAAAGGATTCTTAGTCCCTGGTCTATCTCATAGACACAAAGGGCCTTCAGGGGTCTAATACACCTCCCAATGTCTTTTACAAAACTTTTAACCATATAAAACAAACTACACAATATTCTAACCAATCCTCCCACACATCCTGTCTGTACACCAAGCCTTTTATCCCCCTCCACTACCTCTCCCAAACACTTTGACATACATCCATATTCCACATATATACTGTATATTGCCCATCATATGCTCCATATTCAATGCCTGCTCATACTGCTCGCCATCACAGCCTACAGGACATACTGCCCACCAAGACACTCAGGTGTGGAATTAAAAAAAAAAAAAAAACCTT